TCCTCTCCCCCAACACCACGCACACGCCTACTTTAGCGGCTTCTTTCTTTTCGTCACCCACCTCTCGCCTGCCCAACCCCGGCCCTCTCCATGCACACATACACATACACACATTACATACATACATACACACGCACCTGCACCTCCTTTCCGTCCCGCAGGTCAGCCAGGTTCTGAAGCAGCAGGTCGTAGTCCGTCAGGCGGGGGTCTGGGCGCCGAATGCCGGTGTGACACAACCAGTTTGGGGGAAGCGGGGAAATGAAGATGATGAAAAGTATGACAGAGAGGCGAGGGAGCGAGCGAGGTGTGAGAAAAACACCGAAGCGGGGCGCAACGGAGCACGTTTGCTTGGTGTGGGCCTCGCGCTTCTTTTATTCTCTCCTTCCTTTTTCGAGTCTGGCCACTTCCCTCCCTTTTCACCCATTCCCCCTCCCGCCCTCCTCCCCACCGTCAAAGTTGTCATCGATGACCTTGGTACCGTCATTGTACATATCCATGCTGATGATGGCCACCCCCGGCATCAAGCTCTTGATCTTCTCGGAAAAGGCCGTCTTGCCGGAACCGGAGGGACCCGCTACACCTACCTGCGCATGCGCGTGTGCACGTGCAACGGAACGGAAGTACGGAACGAAACGGAAGTAACAACCACTTTTCTTAACCCAGCAACAGCAAAACGGAGTGGTTGTCTAACACCAACAGCAGCAGACAAGAGATACAATAGCGATGCAGGGTTGAGGCCAATTCAGAGACCAATGGTCGACCGGTAAAAGGTGGTTTGGGCGGCAGGCATGAGGGGAACTTTTTCGTTTAGTGCTGCTCGTCCTGTCCTCTTGAGCATCTTGGCCGGCAGGTGGCACCGTCGTAGTTAGGGGTTTGAGATAGCTGGACTGCCGGGTATGATTAATCAATGGAGATTGCGGGCATCATGACCCAAAACACGTGGATTTTGCTGAACGACTTCCTCCTCCTCAAAGCTAGTGCACCTCACCTGCCTGGAACCAGGTTGGCTTGCTACATGTATTTGTGTGTGTGTGTGCGTGTAACAAAAGCGTCGGAACGGAAGCACTGATGATGGCACACGTGCTCGAACACACGATACATAGTTCTCTCAAGAGAACGGTGCCTCGTCCATTTCATTTACCTCCTGTTTTTTCTGCTCGGGAGCGATCTTGTGGTTTGAGAAGGTTGCGCTTCGCTTTGGGTTTCGGCCAGGGACCCCGCTTTCTTGAACCCCCCACACTTATCGCTCTTCCTACGCCGCCCTTGCATGCCCCGCCCGGAACTCCGGCGCGCCTGCCTGCCTTACCACGACAGTCCCTGTGTTGCTGGCTTTGAGCATCTGCAGCGCTCGGACGAAGACGTAGAAGCCCTGCAGGCGCCCAAGGGGAAAAGTGGCCGTGCGGGGTTGGAATGCACATAAGGAAATACGCTTGCAAGTGGCAACGCAAGAGTATTTCAAAAAGAGGAGCAGCGCTTGGCCCGTCCAATTGCGGCGAGGCAAAAGACGTAGGGCCACGGGAGGACTGTGGTGCATGCAAGATGAGTTGGGGTTAGGGTAGACAGCAGGAAGGACCGAGCGTGGGCAGGTATCGTTAACCAGTAAAGGCGTTCGGGGGCCCGGCGGCCATCGTGTATGGGGCTGACGGCACGATTAAATCATGGCCTGACATATCATATGAAGGAGAACATGCTTATAAGCGAAGAAAACACAAGGAGTTGCGAGGGAACGGAAATCGAAGCAATGGGTGCAGTGGGAGATGGTCGACACCTCGTAAGTGGCTGAGGAACGAGTGGGAAAACACACATGCGGGCTTCTTCACAAGGTAATCCATAGCAGGTACTATTCTGATAGGAGAAGTAGCCTATCGCTGTCAGCGCGTCTCTGTTCGGGGCTTTAAAGTCACACACAGGAAAAAGGGACACTTTGGGGGGAGAACAGGCAATCATGCCCACCTTGTCAAAGGTGAGGGTTTCCTCAATCGGCTTGATCGTATAACGAGTCCTTCCATCGTCAAGCTTCACTTTTACTAGCTCAAGCTGCTCCTTTAGCAAGCCCTGCGCCGCCCGCATGTCCACGATTGTGCACCCGCCGCTCAAAAGGTATCAACATAAAGATACACATATATATCCAGCTCAAAGGAAGATGCGACTCGGCGCCTTTTTGCCTTTGGAAGGACGATATTACCTTGACTTTGCCTTCTTTCCGCTGCGGGGCCTTTGGGCTTTGAGGCCTTGAGTCTGACATCGTCGTGTTGCTTTTTAAAACAGTTGGAAAGATCGTAACCCTAGCAGCGAAACGCCCGAGGGGGTTCACTCCGGGATTGGCGGGTCTGTTGCAATGTCGCCCATAGGCAACGTCTGTGAAAATGAACCAATCAATCAGTGGATTCCCTGCGTTGCCCTCAAAGAATGCAGGAGCATGAAATACATGATGTCCTGACCAAAATCTTTCTGGAGCCGTTGCCCCTCGCAGTACCGTACACCGAGCGGCAAGGCTCTAACAATGACAAAGACGAGAAGTACTTTAAATGTAAAGAAGCACGAAAGAGGTGTAAAATGATGGAAACCAATGATGGAAACCAACTATGACAGCTCTGCCCGTTCCCCGACCGTCCGTTTCTTTGAGTGGGGCAATGGGCACCGGTTGGGCATCTTCACCCCATGCATTATGCAACACTAAGGAGTAGCAAGCCTACCATTTACAATATGTAGAACTTTAAAAACCATGCTGCTCCTAGAAAGCTTGGGGCTTTTCTAGAGATTGGAGTGAAATTTTACCGTTCCAAAGCATGTGCAAAGCTACGTTTAAGAACTAGCAACAATGCATGAGCTTGTATGTTGCAACAGCCGGCCATCGCTTGTCAAGCCACCATTTGGTTGGCGCTGGCATCGGAGCTCCAGGTGCACATGCAGACATGGTTCATGCATTGGAAGACGCATGCACAGGAAAGTTGTGCGCAAGACTTCGTTGCTTGAAGGTGGAACAGACGCATACACAGCATGGCGCGGAATCGCTTGCTCTTTGCTAACAAGGATCAAGTAAGGGACCATAATCTTCAATACCCTTTGAGGCTTACTTAAGTACCATGTTTATAATGCGGCTACGAGAACTAGCAATAATATCCCAGGGTAGGTACGGCATGCTGTGCTGTGCTTTTTGCATGGCTTTTCAATTTTAGGACTGCAGATTGTGTGCCACACAAACTTGCCCTGAAGCTATGTTAGTACCCTTAGTGCACGCAATTAATGTACCCTGAATATACGTCCTTGGGAACAGGAGAAATCAAAGACGTTCATAACCTGGACGACCGGAGGTATCAAGCTGCTCAGGCAATAGTAACAAGTGATACGTGCTAGAGCAAGAAGTGTAGTATGCAGGCAGCTGGGCAGAGAACCAAGAGGCAAGCTGCCGCAGGGGTAGCAAATGAAAAAGAACAGGCAAAGGCGCTACAAGCATCGCAACCTGTGGCATCTAAAAAACAGAAAAGGCGTGCAAGCGATGTTACGTCTCAACCAGCAGCGAAGAAGTCGCGGAGGAGCGCGCCGGAGCTACCAAAAGCGGTGAATGGTCATGCGACGCCGGTAGCCCCGACGCGACCAGCCTACAATTTAAGGACGAGGAGCTCGATGCCCGCTGCAGGCATGTCAAGAAGTATACAGGCACTCATTAGCAGTTACGTCGGCGCCTTTCGACTTGAATTCCCTGGAAGGGGACTGCACTATAACGCCCAGGCACGCGTTACTTTACGCGATGGCCTTCATGCTGCTGACGCATATTCCACCGACACGTAGGCACTAGGCTCACCGATAATTCGTTGCCCGCCAGCGTGCCCACTGGCGGCCTACCGAGCAGCGTCCGGCCTCGAAACCCAAACCAGAAGGCCACCTGGAACGAGCTTCCGGTGGAGGTGCTCAAGGTGAACACAGCATGGACATGCCCTTGGTCTAAGTGCCAGGGCCCGTCTCCCGTGCCAGCCTCCCACACGAGCCGAACTCTTCATGCCCCCTACCCCCCCCCCAGATCATATGCCAGCATCTTGACCCGGCAACACTTCTGGCAGCGCGCAGAGTCGCCGTCGCGATGAAGGATGCCTGCAGCTCCGGCGCCATGCAGCTCCGCTTTACCCTCCCGATGCAAAGCAGCCAATGGGTACCTGCACAACTCGAGGCGTGGGAACGGCGCGTCAACTGCATTGCCGGTCTCCTAAGCAGCGGCAAGATGGTCTCACACGAGATGCAGCTTAGGATGGAAGGCGCCGCAACCTGGAAGGTAAAAACTACACTGGCGACGTAGTTCCAATACACTGCAGGATCTGGTGACATGCCGAACATGGCCAACAGTGTGACCTCCTTCGCCACAGGGGGAGGAGAACATGCCCCCAGCTCAGGTTCAAAACGCGGTACAGCGCCTCTCTCCACTCCTGCAGTCGCTGCGCAAGCTGGGCCACCAAACGGTGACGCCTATTACCCACTTGGACGTTGAACTGCCGATTACCACCGAGGTAAATGGGTGCTGAGCCGGGTGCACGCATTGGTCTAGAGGCGAAAGTCGGTGGCCGTAAAAAATGCGGCTGTATATTGGGGTTGCGTAGGGCATGGGTTGCGAACGGGCGCCATGCGTCGCCTTCCATGACCTAAGGCCCGCCCTGCCCATGCCGATTTCCCTCACAGATAATCGGGATTCTTAACGTCGCGTTCCCCGACGTTACCTCGCTTCGCTTGGACTGCTCGATACCGCCCCCACACAACCACGCCCTTGTCCTAGCGGAATCTCACGCCTTCACCAACGTCTGCAAGCTGGATATCGGCCTAACGTCCTGGGATCAAATCCAGTACTTGGCCAGCTTGCAGCAGCTGACAGAGCTCCGTGTGCGGTACTGCTTGTGGTGCGTGACAGGACAAGCTTTGCCTGGGTTGGATGCCTTTGGATGACATCGCACGTAGGCTTCTTGGGTTGGATGGTTTGACGTTCTGCATGCAAGTAGACTTTACCGGTGCCATTCGTGGGCTGTCTTCAGAACCGTGGTTTTCTTGCATGACGTGCCTGATGCCGTGTATGAGGAAGGATTTCGGTAGGATGCCTTAAGATTCCTGGCAAGATATTTGATTTGGTACGGGGTGTGTGTTGTCAACTCGGCGTAAATAGGTTTACGCTGTTAAGCATTGTGGGACACGCGTCGATATGTACATGCAATCTTTGCGCGCTGGGTGTTGTCGGTTTACAATGCTTGTTTATGTATGTTCTTGGGTCACATTTATCATTACCCATCCTATAGTACAGCACCTGGACTTGGAGGAAGCATGGTCCCTTTGCAAACAAACACGTAAACGCGCTGGTGCAACGCAGGAACATTCCAGAGCTGACGCCCTTGGCTGGTCTTCAAAACCTCACCACCTTTGGCATCGAGGTAACGTTGGGGGCCCGATGAGACATGCGGAGGCATCTTATGCATTGCCTTCATCGCCGCCTTTTGTTCCCGCCCAACCTAGACTCTCAATGTGCTTGGTGCCCGATCCAGATGCGTCCCCCGAACCAGGAGCTGCCGACATGGTGCCTTGCTGCTATTTATAAGCACCACTCTCGCTGCTTGACCCCAGCCCATGTCTTGCCGGCCAGGCACGCTCAATTATTCCACCTGCCGCCAATATTGTGTCAGTTCTACGGTATACTGTTGATCAGTTACACAATTACGCACCGTGCCTTCGTGGACACACAGGTGCAGGACGACCGGGCTCGCTTCCAGCTGGACTTCTTGGGCCCGTTGGTCCGCGGCGCACCTCGCCTACGCCACCTGCGCGCCGCCATAATCCTCTCGCGCACCGTCGTGAGCGAGAGTGGCCCCGCCAGCTGCGACTTTTTGGCAGGCTGCGGGTTGGAGACCTTGGACCTGGACGTGCGGGTGCCCGAGGATGCCGCGCGGACCGCACACGCGCACTTCCGCAATCTGCACCTGGCACCACAGGGCTGCAAGGTGTGCACACGTACGCGAACGTGCGCACTTTGGGCAAGTGGAGGGGAGGGAAGGGCTTTCAAAAGGAAGATAACTCTGTATTGTTTTGCAGCGCAGGAATTGTCCCATATATTCCCCATTTCCTCCCGGGGTCCAGGAGCCCTGTGCGAGCTGTGCTGCTTTGCAGTCTATAGACGCCCGTATTTGCTTAACGCGTCCCCATGCAGTGCTGTTGCTACTGTTGCTGCTGCTGCTGCTCCGCTTGTTGGTGCTATGCAGGTGTACTTGACAATTCGTGCGGATGCACTCACACGGGAGACGTCCTTTGAGTCTGCTGCTACACGAGGCGCCAATATGTCCATGCCGCGGCTGGGCGTGGCACATCCATCGCCGCCCGATCCACGCGAGCGCTGGGGCGCGCTGAACATGTCGGACCTAGGTGGTCATGCCAGGGACCCGTTGACGCTGCTGCACCTGCGCGGCTACCACACGGCACTGTCGACGCTGCCCGACCTCAGCGCGGCGTGGCTGATGCGGCTCCAGGTGCGGGCGCCACACGTGGGTGTAGGCACGAAGAGCCAATCCCCACGATTGCGCTGTGCGCTGCTGTGTACGTGATACTGCTATTGGCCAAGAGATATGTATCGCCTAGTGTGTAGCGTATTGCGTTGAGGAGGATTTGAGGAGGTTTTCACTTGCACTCGCGCAGCTTATTTTTTCACACAGCAAAACCTACCTAGCAAAACTGAAGGCCCCAAGCTCTGTTGGTCTCATGGCTGCATATCCTATCTTGTCTTGGACACGTAACCCTTGAGCCTTCCTTGCCACTTTGGAGAACCGTTGTGGCCTAGGCCCCTTCCTCGGTTTTCCCCCTCCACCACCATGCCTCCGGCCGGCTTCTCGGCCCCCGCCCCTGTCCCCCATCTACCAGATTAGCAACGCCCGGCTTAGCCCTGCGGACTTCGCCGTCCTAGCCACCTGCACATCCCTGGAGCACCTCTTCGTGCGCTTCATGTACCAGCCGGACGCTCCGGGGTCTAACACCTCAACGACTGAACCCGTGCACAACTTAAGCTACTTGGGTTCCCTGTCCTTTACGCGTGGCTGGGGCGACTGCATCCGACCCCGTGAGCTGCAGTCCTCGCTCCGTCTAGTGGCGCACGCCTCCCACGGGATGGTCACGCGTTCACGCAAGTCGCTTCAGGGCTCAGGCCGGCGCAGCACGGGTAGCACAGCAGCCGCGGCAGTCCCCCTCCAACCGGACTGCACAAGCCAGGCCGCTCCTTACGTCCTGCGGCCGCTGCTGCAGCTTCAAAATCTCCGTAGCTTGGAGCTGCTGGAGGAGCCCCAATCGCCAGTGGGGCCGCCCCCTCGGTTAAGCGCTGTTGGAGCGGGCAGCAGCGGCCCTGCCATGCCCGCAGCCGCAGTCTCGGCCCCAGCCGGGGCGTCAGCCAAGCGCACGCGACGCGGCGCGGCTGTGAAATCAAATGCTGCGGCAGGGCCTTCTGCAGCCACATCTGCAGCCGCACAGGCTGGGCCACCGCAACCTGCGCATACGCCACAGACAGAACCGACGCCGACATTGTTGCCGCTGAGCAGGTCGGGGCTAGACCACTTTCTTCTGCACTTGTCGTGTCTGGATCACTTGAAGGCCTTGTCGCTTCACTTCCTCACGGAGGACGTGGACCTGCCGGACTGCCCCTGCCGAACGTCCTGCTTTGTGCCGGGCACACGCGGCAAGGAGCCTCCGCAGCCCATTGATAGCGAGTACGTGTGCAAACGGCTCAGGATGATGGATCCCGAGTGTTACAGGTTCGTCCTAGGCAGCCTGGTGGTGCAGAGCCCCATTTGGTACAGGCCCAGTGCGTGGCCGGCGCTCGAGAGCTGACATCCCAGGGGCGGCGGCACGAGCTGAGCGGGTGCTCGTGGTGTTGTGCGTGTCTTGAGCTGGCAGGCCATGCCTTCCAGGTTGTGCGGTCGTCGGCTTACTCAGGCGGTAATGGTAACCCCGGCTGAGTTGGGTCAGATCGGCCAGTGCCATATGTCTCGTAACATTCCCTGGCGTCCGCCTCCAGGGGGGTGCTGGAGCAGCTTCCGCACAGCCGGTTTTTGATAGGAGCCAGTACCGCGTATCGTGCCCTGTGCGCGCTATTTGATTGCCGTGGGGAACCTGCTTTGTGCAACATCTGAACGGCTGTTTCCTGCCTGACAGTTTTGGCACGTGGGGGTTTTCTTTAGCGGGGATACACGGCTCCTGCAAGCACAAGCGACGGCATGCAAGCCTTAGTGCAGACTAACCGCGACAGATTGGTTTGCAGGAAGTACTTGAGCAACGCCGTGAGCAGCCGCATGGCAACCTGCCATCCGGGGTACGGCTTGGTCTGGGCCGCATGATCGCAGGGGCACAGATCCTACGGAGGCGAAGTACATAGATGATGTTTTGGGTGCAATATGGCACGGGAACACTTGAATTTTGGTATTCGGAGCTCGTATCGGCTGTTCCCTGCGCGGTACTGTTGACCTGCCCTGCAGGGTTGCTGCTGCATCGTGACTTCTAACGGCATGTCGTTGCGTTGCGTGTATTTGGGCAGTGGCAAGTAAGTGCGCTTGCAAGCAGGGCCAGAGCGGCGGGGCAGTGCGTGCACATCTACGAACAAGCTAACGGTATGTTTGCGCATGCGCAATTCCTTCGGGGTGCATGGAGCGGGTTGGAGGGGAGGAGTGCACGGTGCCGCAGGGGCATTGCAGGCCCGTTCAGGTTCAGAGCACCTTGCAGGATTCTTGCAGGATTTCCGTCCTGACAAGTCGGCGGGTGCGACGTTTGGGCGCTGACGGGGGTTGTCGCGGGTAGCAAGGAGTTGTGGCAGCAAGCTGCTAATCCACCACGGTAGACAAAACAATCTGTCAAGAGATTGCATCGCGAGCCCTGCAGAAGTGTTTCTGTAGATTCTCAGGTCTCTAGCATAATAGACATCTGGACATCATAACTAAGAAAGAACTGCCATCGAAGTCTATGGAGATTGCTTGACACGTGTCCCACATCGTGACCCGGTTGCTTGGGTTGCAGGCATACCTGCCATATGCCGCGTGCGAGGAAACCCGCAGAGGAATGCGTGAATTGCTTTGCTTGTATGGTTCCATAGGACCATCGCGCCCCTTCCTGCGCGTGCGCTGTGTTCAAGGAGGGAGGGACCCCTCGAAGCAGATTTCCTGCGACGTGCTTGGCCGCAGTGGGGATATGTGGATGTGGGCAACGCAGATTCTTTAACTTGTTCCAAGACCACGGTGCGAGAATGAGGCATTAAAAACGTTGGGATGTTGAATGAAACGCCCTTCCCGTCGGTGTGGCAGGCGGCCTCGCTGCCCATAGAACACGCCATGCTGTGTGACGCTGGGCTTTTTATTACGGGTATTATTTGGCCTATATATAACATCCAAATTCTCTTTGGGCCAGTTCAAGCCCGAGGAAGTACTTATGCGAGCCCAGGATGCTGATGTTATCTGCACTGAATGGGCGAGCTCCTGGGGCCATGGGCCCAGGCTCAGGATGAGGCTGCAGGATCTTGCGATGACAGACTGCAAGATTTTCCGCAGCTCGTGTGCATGGGAAGAAACCATGTAACGGTAGCTCCTACGGGTGCGTTGCTGTGTCGTAAGATACCAAAGGTTAAGGAATCGAAACAATCCTGCCAAATTTTCTCACCAAAAGTCTCCCAAGATGCATCGAGTCAGGATTCCGCAAACGGCTGTTGCGCACGCGAAGATTATTGGCTTGTGTATAGCCTGCTGCAGGCTGCCTCGATCGGGATGGTTACCTCATGAATGTCCCATCCCATCGCGACACAGTAAGACGCGATGCTGCCAGGACGACCGCGCCAAGAGCAAAGTTCTGTGCTCCTGTCTCCCTTAACCGTGTTCTCATGGCTATATCGACTCGAACGTGCTGGCTGACCGTGCAAAGAATGGTAGAGACAGGAAGCAGGGAGACCAGCTGCCAAGGGCCCTTACACTGCAGTAGAACACAACCCCAGCCAACCACGGCCGCGCGACTGCGGCCCCTAAGGCCGCCACACCGGTACCGCGCGGCCGACAACACACATCCCCAGGCGACAGACATCACGCGACAGACAAACGCGCGACAGACAAACGCGAGGCCAAAGGACGCCCAACGACCACCACGACAACTCACACAACGGCGACCCTAACGTCCTGAAGACCGTCCAAGAAGACCGACTGAGTCCAACGGCGAAAAGCGCCCCCTCCCAGGGCTCCCAAGGCCACGCTACAAGGCTAAAAGACCCAACTGCAATCAAAACTTCCTCAAGTCTCTGCTCTCGACCCGCCTGCTGACAAGCCACTCCTCAGCGGGTGTCGTCTACCTGTCCGCCGCTAGCCGAGCCCGGTGCGGAGGTGTCTGGGACTGGCCAGTGGAGAAAGGAAAAGTGGAGGGGGGGGTGAAAGAAAAGATAGCAACCTCGGATCAAAGGGGGAAAGGTGGGCGGGAAGCTGTCAGCTACAAGCTGAAGCTCTACTGAGTGAAAGGCAGAATGCCTGAAACGAAAGGGCTGAAGCAATTAATAATCGCCATTCCAATACGGTTGTACGATAGTCGCACAGAACCAGACTTCGCTCGCTCGCTTCGCTCCGTCGCATCTAATGTCTTGTGACACCCCTGAACCCTCGCAGTCTTCTCACTTACTAATTTTTGCTTTGCGGGACATAAGCTGCGCCTGGAACAGAAAAAACTGTACGCTTCAGTGAAGCAGTGTTAAGCAATACCGGGTATTTCTCATTTCATTTGACAGAAGTGAGTCTGCATCTTAAGACGTTGATTGTCGTGCAATGGTCGGTGTTCGGTTTTAAGTTTAGGAGCGCGTTCGGTGGGCTTTGTGAACGCAGCCTGCGGGCAATCAACTTGACCAGGCCGACCCGCCCTCTCCTCGAAGCTGACACCACCAAGATCTCTGATTTCAGGTACCACTCAGCTTACCGAGATGACAGCGGTGGTACGGTGCCACCGGTGGTGCGGTGGTCAGTAAACGTCCTGTCCACCTTAAGCAAATGGCGGTCAAGAGTACAATAGAAAACTGTAAGCACCAGCTCCAATTGCACAACAAAACAAACCATGCGCGATCTGTCCTGTACCGTTACCGCCACCACTCATTGGATTACTGTTGTTTTGCGGCTCTCACTGGTCATTTGGGAGGCTTGTTGGCTTGCCGGTGCCTGCACCCCTACTCCAGCCGGCGCCACTTCACGAGATGGTGATGGTGGCTGCGGCGGGGAACAGTGACCGCATCCACGGCGAACAAGAGCTTACTCTTCAAAAAATAATTCCTGCCAGCCTCGTAGCGGCTTAACAGGTTACTAAGCCCAGCCTGGGCTACAGCACCCCAGGCAGAGCCGGAGCTGGAACGTGCAACCCCATCCTTCTCCATAACCGACACAACGTATGGCAGCGCTTTAACATGTTCAGTAGCGCACACCTGGTCACGGACACTGGCTCCTGATATGTGTATAATCTGTGACAAGTACGTCCAAACACTTGTGCAGCACACTATTGGGCCCAACACATATCAGCTGACCATGTGCAAGTAGCACCACATACTAGTGTACATATAATGGAAATACAGGGCGCCCCAAAGTACACGCGTGGATTGATTACAGAACACATTTCTGCTCGTCAATACATGGGTTAACCTTGGAGCTAGTGACAAGACAAGGTTGGTTTTGACACAAGGATCTGATAAAGATACTTATTATTCAGACCAGTTCCTCTTCTTGCCCGGGCATTTCCTTTTCTGCCAGCCAGGAACCAGGGGGGCAAAATCGGGGTAGCTGGTGGCCTCGGTACGGGATGTAAGGCACTGACCGACCTAGTTGCTGGTCCAGCCTCCTAACACCACCAAGACAAGAAAAGGGACACACACCAGCCGCCTGCTTCATCATGTAACGAAAGTGAAATTTTTGTGTTCACGTGTTGCTAAAATTCGCCTTCTAGACACCACAGTGAATGTACCAACAACCAACCCATGATTGCAATCCAGTTTTAAACCAATCAATCATGTTGGAATGCCTTTAGATGGAAAGCACGCCAGAGTTGTTCAACTGCCCACACGGAGTGGCCCCTTGCGGCCCATCCACCACACTGCACATAGGTGTTGTGCAGTTAGTAGGTCTGCATACACGAGGAGAGACGTGAAGTGATGTGGTATGATGCCAAGACGCCCACAGCTGAGGTGTCGGTTGATGATGTATACCCAAGGCTTATGATGAGCTCAACAATTGACACAGACTTAGTTGCCGAACTCACAGTTCATTTAGGTTGACGTATGGACATTATGGTGTGGCGCCGCATGGGGTCACAGGTAGCCACGATGGGCCAGTCCCATGAACAGAAAAACATCAACACCTGCAACTCCACAGTAAAAGGCTTGACAGCACCAGTGCTCAGCATCATCACCATCATCTTTCCAGGCCAACCAGTTTTTCAGACATCTTTGATGCGTTTTAACTTCTTTCCGTTGAGGAGCACCTGGAACTGTGCAAGATGGTCATCGACAACATATCTTCACTTCCTGGAAGCCAACAACCTTCAATACCAGCTGTATGTCTGGCTGGTGTGTCACAGCCTACTTCCCTGCTAGAGTATCATGCACAGCACAGGAAGGCCCTTGCCTTCACCGCAGATTGTGACCAACAGATTCCAGGTGAGGCACCCACCCTGCAAAATACAACATCCAAGCCACGACCTGGTGATGAGCAGGCTCGCTGTCAGTCATGCGAGACCTTTGCACTGAAGAACTGTCAGTTTGGTATGTATGGTCGCCACTGCATGGTGCCATGCAGTGCCCATCAACAAAACAGGGTGAAGTCAAATTACAAACCACAGCAGGCGGTGCACTCAATGGGCAAGAGGCACAGAATGGCTGTTGTGCAGGCCAGGAAGACGTGTAGCTGCTACCTCAGGCATGGTCCAACTGGCACCCAGATCAGATGACACACCAGCCTGCATGGTGCCAGCTGATCTGGGTGCCAGTTTGTCCATGCCTAAGGCAGCAGCTCCATTGTATTCCTGGCCTGTACAGCGGCCATTTTGTTGCTCTTGCCCAGTGCACCGCCTGCTGTGGTTTGTAGTTTGACTTCACCCTGTTTTGTTCATGTGCACTGCATGGCACCATGCAGTGGCGACCACACATACCAAACTGACAGTTCTTCAGTGCAAAGGTCTCGCATGACTGACAGCATAACTTGTGAATCTTTTTGTCCCGCTAAAACGCGGTGGTGTGAGGTGCTTAGTTACCTCCGAAGTAAGTGCAGACTTGGATGATGTCGCTGCCTTCTTGGCAACACCCTCGTCAAGGCGCACCTCGGGCTCCAGGTTGCGCAATGGTGCAGCGTCGCCAGATTAATAAATGACGTGAATCTGTTATCCAGCGCCTCGCAAATGCCATCCAAAATTTGTTTGCATTGAGCATCCGTCGAACTTGGGGAAGTCTTACTAGGTAAAGCGTCACGGAGTTGAGACTGAAGATAAGGATCTTCATTGGCAGAGCTGATTTCACCCAGCCATTCAATGGCAGAGCTGATTTCGCCCAACCATTCGCTGTGATTGCAGTGTTTCCTGTTCTCCGTGGCCTTTAGGTGTATAGATATTGCATCTGGGCCTTCAGCTCGTATGGGTAGTTTTACAGGTATGGGGTCACGCATCCCCAACCATGTAATACACACACACAAGTCAGGTGTGATCTGTTGTGTGAAAAACTCGTGTTGCAATGGGGATGCAAAACGCGACACAGCGATGGCCGCACGTGATCGTTTGCATGTGCACGAATACAATATGAAAATCGACGAGTCTGTACCAGCGCTTTTACAATACTGTTCACGAGCAGAACGCTATGAGAGTCGCTGACCAAATTCTCTGGTATATTAAGGGCTTGGTTCACGAGGTCTCGATACCAAATGTAGTAGCTGGCCGCTAAAAAGGCCTCTCGAGATGCTAGTGGACACCCTTAGCGTGTATTTGTAGATATGTGTACCATACTCTGTACCAGCCACAACACTTCCCAGGTTGTACAGATTGCTATACAATTCATTATGTATGCTGAGGCATTTAGTCTCTCTTCATGCACTAATCGGTAGTTTTTACTACCACATAAACTGTGGTGTTATAACAGGTTGCAGTTTGTGTGTCGCTGACACTCCAGGTTTGACAATGGGGCAGTGTGTTATGTGGATGCTGTGTTTAGTCAACTGGTGCTGGATGCCCGTTTTTTTT